GAAGAAAAAAATTCGCTGAGATCCCCCCACCACCCCTTCGACCCCTAAGATGCTACCGCGCCCGTATCAGACGGGCTCGGATTTTTCAATTTACCGCGCGTAAGTGCAACTTTAAAGTCCAATATAAAAGTAATAAAACCACGGATTTCGATGATACTTTTGGAAAACACTTATCATATCCTTAAGTATGTAGGAAATTCATCCCTTCGAGTGTGCACTGATCCCTTCAACCCCTAACTCAACATTCCCTTCACATCAGACCAGGTTGGATTTTTCAAGTTACCGCCCCGCAAGGTCGACTTTAAGGTCAAATATAAAAAAAACAAAACCACGGGTTTCGTTGAAACTTATGGAATGCACTAATCATATTCTTAATTATCAAGGAAAAGCATCCCTTCGAGTGTGCACTGATCCCTTCAACCCCTAACTCAATATTCCGCTCTCATCAGACAAGGTAGGATTTCTGAAATTACGTCCCGGCAAGGCCGACTTTAAGGACCAATATAAAAAAAACAAAACCACGGATTTCGTTGAAACCTTTGGAATACACTAATCATATCCTTAAGTATCCAGGAAAAGCATCCCTTCGAGTGTGCTCTGATCCCTTCAACCCTTAACTCAACATTCCGCTCTCATCAACAGTCTTCAGAACAACAGTTGGGCGTTCTTTCCTCAGATTTGCCTCGTTGTGTTTTGGCTTAGAAGTTATCGAGTATCCGCTTCACATTCTGGATTGATCAGTAACACCTACCTGCTTCCGTATAGGTGAAACGCAACTTCTACTCGAGTTGATCATCATCACCTAATGATTGGAAAGAAATCATACCCCCATTCAAAAAAGCAATAATTAAAAATGAAACAAGTTCAGTAAGTGCCTTGTTGCCGTGAACTTACTGATACGACGGATACGTCGTCATTTAAGTGACGCATAGCTACTCCATGATTCAATTTCAATAGAAAAGGTTTGAATGTAAAAGTCTAATTTTTTCCAAATTGATAATTTAGACTTCTAGAATTTAACTTTTTCTTTGCAGTTGACTGGAGATAATTTTTATTTTGAAAATTTTTCAAAATGGTAACTAGGTACTTGAGAAGGTGAAGCAGCTTTTGCTACTTTTTCAGTTAAATGATGGTTTTATTCGTGTCACTTTAGCTAGTTTATTTGTTAACTAAAATTAATTCGTTATAGAAACCATTGCCCAGGACCCACCGCGAGGAGGTAGTGACACAATTGGGTCCCATCCCAAGCCTCCCCAACCACCCATCCACGTGGAGGCCATTTTAAATTCAGATAAGAGGCACGTGAACTTTTTTGGTTGAGTCAACCCTATTCACACGGCAAATTGAGCTTCGATTCCAGGTGTTATCCATCCGAATTTTCTGTCATTTTTGTTTTGTTTTCTCATCACCCCTCGGAATACATTCATAATTTTACCATCTTTCCCTCTAACCTGAAGAGGTTTGGAAGCTGAGGGAGCGACAGTACGGTAAAATTTGATGAACTTCGCTCGTCTCGAACAATCCGAGGGGAAGCAGTTGTGAGTGTCTGCGAAGCGTATGAAGTCTCCCAAAAGTACCCTTCAGCGGATGATATATGCTGGTTATGGCCCAATATGGCATGACATTTTCCATCACTGGATTTAAATCGGGCAGCTACAAGGACAAGCCTTTCGCATTTAGTTGCTAGTTTTTTGGACCCCGATAAAGACCTTGCAGTGAAACACCAGTTGGTGAGGGTTTTGGCTTCTACCATACGCTTCGCATGAGACCCTTTCAAATCCCTTGCTACTTCTTCGATCATAACCTGTTCTACAATGATAGAAAAAGGTTCTCATATTCAGTTTATCACTCGAATAAACTTTTAAGCTTTTCAACGTTGGATTAAAATATTCAGAACTATACAAGTCCTATATTCTCACATCCGTAATATGAATAAGGGACAATGGAGAGACAATTTGTAGCTTTGGCGACATTATCTTTCTTCCGTCCAGCAGGGCGGTTAGGCACAGCTGAAATTGGACCGGAACGATCATCATCATGAGTGGTTTCATGGACAACAACTTTCAGGGAAGGAGAGAGATTAGAATATGCCCTGTCAGGAGAGACAGGATTTTTTCTATTAGGTAGCGGTTGCTCTACAAGCGCCTGTATTCCTCCAGAACAGATGCGATGGTGCGAACCAGCAACTTTTCTTTTCTTGGAGGGAAGAGGCTGCCTTTTGGTTGCTACTCGCTTCCTTTTGGAGCGACGGGGCAAGTTTCCTTCATGACCTAACAAAGCTTGAGTTGAGAATAACTCCGCAATCTGCTCTCGGTATGCTTCCCCCTCTCTATCCTCGTACTCCTTTCGAAGTTGCATCTCCAATTGCTCAGCATTGCGTTGTACATTAAATTGCATGTTATCTCGATGAGATGAGTCCTCATCAAGACAACTACCTACCACAACTGAGACGGTCACCCAACATCGACGTATCAAGTGACAAGATGTCGCTTTCCTTAACTATCATGGTACAGTAGCTAGTCTTTGCCCGTCTCTAGACCTTGAGGTGCAACAGAGCCAGTTTGAATGAACATAACTTGTCATCATTTGCAGATACATTAATTCGTTCTGCGATAGAACAGCAAGAAAGCATCTTTGCTTCCCTCAGGCCAGTCACACGGTTGGATTCTCGAATCATCCGCCCGAATGAATCTTTTTCCGGAACGAATGATGGCAGTGTAATGACCGACGTAATGGTCACCATTCATATCTCTGCCACCGTGATGAAATACGGCTCCATGCAACTCGTATCGACGCTTATCGATAGTAATGTCTAGTACATTGTTCACTCTGAAAGACGTATTTTTTACATCCTGTCCAAAGATCAGTAACTGTACGACGAACAATTGGCTCGGATGTTGTAGTACTGTTCGTTCTTGAGCTGTGCTTTTATTGCCGCAAGTAGGACATTTATAATCCTCGATATTTTGATAAGTCGATGGGATTTCCAACAACTGAGCGATTGTTTTGTGGCTGTTAACAGTCGACAGCCGCCAGACATTGTCGCACTGCGGTTCCGAACTGTTGGTTACCCCGCACAATTTGTAGCCACACTTCTTCTCATAAACAACAGAAAATTTTGTAAACTCATTCAAGATATGATGGCAATTGATCAAGGAAATCAAGAATAATTGAGCATCTTGTTGTTNAAATCTTGAAAGGTTAAAATCCAAAAGGAACCATCTTCCAGGAGGGGTCAAAATGTTGGTCCATCCTCAGGGGGGCGGACCCACAAGTTTTTTTTTAAAATTGGTAGACCCTTTCGTCTGATACATCATTGGAAAGAACATAAAAAACAAAGAATTTTGGCGCAAACCGCTGCTCAAATTGTAAATTGACAAGGATTGGCCACTGAGTGCAAAAGGCACCTGATACTCACTTAAAGTTGTTGTATCTTCTACGTTCGGATGATTTGCATTGCCAATCGATTTTGTCGTTTCCAGCAAAGATTGCTGAGAAAGCTCAAATAAGCGCTCAACTGGACCCGCTTCATTAAGCTTTTCATTCTCAACATCATTGCTGGAAATCAAAGTACCGACTGACAATTCACATTCAGATCTTCTGGAGTCATGAGTTTTAGCAGTCACATTTACCGCATGCTCACATGCAGTTATTTCATATGCACTCTCAGTGGGAGCTTTTCCTATGCGTCTCAGTTCTATAGGCTTCAGTTCTGATTGCTTGGAAAACTTAGACCAGCACTGACCATCTGGACGCGCTGTATCTTGATTTCCACTCTCAACACTGATATTGCCATAAACTGACTTATCGACTGACAAGGATTGGCCACTGAGTGCAAAAGGCACCTGATACTCACTGGGTCGTTTCAAGTTAACTTTCTTCTGGAATGGTCGTGAGGCAAGTTCCGAAACTCTGGCGGGTGGAGACGTTGGATTTCCTCTTTTCGTTGCGCTGCTAGGAACAGGTAGAGGCCCAAGTGAAGTTGATGAGGCTGTAAGTTGATCCTCGTCTTTCAACTTTTGGGTTTTGCGAATTTCTTTCTTCTTCAACAGTCGCTTCTTAATTTTCGATACCATTCTCGTATTTAAGATTTCGTCGCGTTTTGATTAACACAACTTCGGTTTCAAAAGGTAAAATAAAAAAAAGGTAAAATAAAAAAAAAAGGTAAAATAAAACAAAAGGTAATATAAAATGAAACAAGGAATGTCCTCAGTTAGTAACGCCTGTTGGAGTCAATTCTGAGTTCATGGATGTGGATGATGGTGAGTGAAGACAGGATGACAAATATTGAAGTTGGTAAGTTCCTTCCTTGCAATGCATAGACATACGTAAGGCGCATAGAGGTCATTTGGTGGGCGATAGGTAGGCAACCAGCTTTCGATGTAGCAACGGAAAGTGGAACAAGGAATATAAGAGGCATACTCGGGAAAACATCAAAAGTAATGCATTTTACTAAAATTTTGGATCACAAGAAGTAAAATTTACCTTAACTTTAGATAAATTAAACTTCACTGAAATTATGAGTTGATAAAGCGGAAAAATCAAAGCCTC